TTTGTGGTTGAGAACTCAAGAATTTGTAGACTTAGAGCATCTACAAATACAATGAGGGCTTTTTTTATAAATTATTACTATTTCTTCAACCACTTAGGGGGTGTTTGGATAAATTAGTTTATAGCTTATTAGCTTATTTGTGGTGGGATTGGGAATAAGCAATAAACAATAAGCAAGGGGGGAGATGCTTATTAAAATCAGCTTATTTAGTTTATTCCTACCACAATAAGCTGATTTTTAAGGATTTCTATCCAAACACTTAAACTTAGCTTATTGTGGTGGGAATAAGCAATAAGCAATAAGCACCCTCTTTTTTTCCCTATCCAAACACCCCCTTAATACCATTAGCCTGCATAGCTTATTTTACTATTCTATTCTATCAAACACTTATCATTCACAACTACTTATTTATCTATTGTAGTATTACTTTCTACCCCCTCATCTTAATAACATTTTCATTTTATCCCCTTCAATAATATTTGCATATTTTATAGCTTTATCATTTTTCACTATTTAATTTTAATCTGATTAATCAAATATGCAAATAAAAATTACAATATTTTTATTGTTTTTTTTTTTACTATATAATTGATAAAATAACATCAATTTTAAATATGATGTATGCTTAAAAAACAAAAAAATTATAGGAGGTTTTATAAAACATATCAAATAGATCGATGGGGTAAATGTTTAATTATTAAAAAAAAAGAAACTTGTGCTTTGGAGAAGGTTTTTAAAGATAATTTTTTATTGATATGACATAATAAATAAGCTTTACAAGTGGTTAACCATAGTGGATGCTCTTAGGTGGCGGTGTTTTCATTTATTTTCACAGGTGCAATGGTTATTTTTCAATGCTGTGACAAATAGAGTGGTTAAGTTTCTGATTCACTCGTTTTATGAAGCAAATTTCTTTATGTGGCCCATGGTTCCCATGTCTTGTGATATCTAACCATCTTTTGTTATTTTTCTGTAAAAACCTGCATCTCTTTTTCTGAATAAAAATAAACTGGAAAGTGCTGATTCCTTTTTGCACTTGGTGTTATTATAGTAATTTTATGCTTGGGTACTAGATGTAAATATTTACTAAGAAAAGAAATTTCTGATTTTGGAATATAAACCAATATATCCTTCTTAACCAAATAATATATATGCCAATGTTGGTCACTATTTTTTTGATATATCTATTGCGTCAGTGCATTGTTTCATACTTATATTTTATTGTCCTCAAAATTTTGAGGGTTAAATTACCAACCAGTCGGCTTATATATATAGCTAATTCTATTTCCATTTATATATCCTGCAAGTTGACAACTTGACATCATCATCTTATATAGAATGTGATGCAAAGAAACAAATTCATGCGGTGCTTGGTTAAGGTTCGATTGATTACTTTGTCTTTTTATCTCACTATTATCTGTACATCACACATCATGTTATTCATTAAAGCTTACAGCTGGTATATAATATCCATCTTCTTTTCCCTCATATTATGTATCTGCAGTTTTCCTGCAGCTTGCTAGCTCTTTTCATTCTCTAGTTCTTGTTAGCATACCTAAAATTTATGTACGTACATGAGATGATTATTAATAGTACATGTCTGTTGTTCAATATACATTTTTCCAGCAAGTCTTTTTTTTCAAAGCTGTAGTAGCTGGGTCATTTAAGATACATAAAGAGGGAAGTCTTCTACATTCTACTGTATATGTGATACGTGGATCGTGGGTTATCCAGCAGAATCATTGGCTCATCATGGTTGCCCATACCTGTACATTTGTATATCTTTAGAAAGTGACAAAAGCTTCATCACTTTATATGATTCTTTAACAGCAACTGTCATCTAGAATATTTAAAAACACAAGCTTTTCTAAGTTAGATTCTACTACACACTGACTGCAGAAATAAAGGTTTAAGTTTTAGTGGAAGCTATTTTGTTTGCCAGCAATAGCATGCTCATATTAAGCAATAAACTCCAAATTATCAGAATTCACTTATTGTTGAAGTTGGAATTTATCTGAATTTTCTAGTTTCTTTCATGAAAATACTTCCTGTGATGGGTTTTTATTAGATGCCTATTTACAAATTTGCTGTCCTAAAGTGAAGAATATATTGCCCCTCTTTCCCTGTTCTATGTGCTACAATTTTTTAGAATATGTGGATGTACAGGACAAGCAGAGAATTAAGAAGTTAAAAAGATGATGATCTGACATATTTTTACAGAGAACTTACACTCCTTGTCCGACGTGACAAGTGAGTAACTCTTCTTGACCACCACTTCGCAACTTATGGAAGTGATGATTAAAAAAATTGTGTTGCGGATCCTTTCGGTCCTAGTTGAGTTGTTATGTCAAGAGAAGATCATCATCGACTGTTTGTTATATCTTTTTCTCTGTGTATGAATTTAGTGGCCACTTAATAGAAACTCTTTATTAAAAACAAAACTGAGCGTTCACATATTATTGTTAATAGCATCAACATATGGAAATTGGTAAATAGGGAGCGATAGATACATTTTAAGTGCACAAGTCCCTGTGTTTGAGAGAGTAAATGTATTTTAATCCTCTTTGATATTTTCTGCAATCTTAGACTTAGGGAGAGTGTTGAATTTTAACTGGTACAAGAAATGTTCCCAAATGCTTGCTATAGACATCTCAATTTCCATTAAGAATTTAATTACCAAGTACAAAGTAGAGAAATGTTTGTTTTGTTAGTATGCATTCTTAGCAGTTTATCCAAGGCTAGGTTAGACCCACTGAGGTTGAAAGTCTTAGAATAAACAAGATTCTCATGTTTGAAGGATTGTAAGCAAGTTGGTGGCGCAATTGCAATATAAAGAAGAATCACAGCCCACCCAAAGCAATCTCATTCCCAATCTTTTTACCCTCAGAATATATGTATAAATTGATTGAAAGAAGGAATCTGTTTGAAAAACATTGACCAGCCCTTTTCAACTTTCAGCCTTTTTAGTGTAGATTGTGGAGGAGTCTAACCCAATATTGAACTTGAAACATTTAATCAATGCATCATATGGTTCTAATTTGTTTGTAAGAAGAATAAATGTGTTCAAGTTGTTCCATCGTTTTGTGCACAAAAAGAGTATCCATCTTTTAAAGACACCTTTGTTAGTTTTCAAGCATCTAAGTAAAGTAGTCCAGCTTTGCCCGATTTCATATAAATAGAAGTGGCATGAAAACCTCAAACTTCAACCAAATCTCATCATCTTCCTCTTCTTTCCCATAAGAAACTCCCAACTTATCGGATCACTATCTGAGTTGGATTTTGATCCTAGTGAGTTGTTGAGATGGAGAAGATAAAAGCATTGGTATCTAAGAATGGAGTTGTGATTTTCACCAAGAGCACTTGTTGCTTGTGTTATGCTGTCACCATTCTCTTCCATGAACTTAGGGTGAACCCTGTAGTCTATGAAATAGACAAAGATCCTCAGGGAAGGGAGATGGAGAAGGCTTTCCTGAAGCAAGGTTGTAGTTCATCCCCTGTGCCAGCTGTATACATAGGCGGCATGCTTGTTGGTTCCACCAACGAGGTCATGTCCCTCCACCTAAGCGGCTCCCTCATTCCACTGCTCAAACCATATCAGTCCCTGTCTTAAACAAACAAATTTCACTTGAAGAAATTACATTGGCTCAAGACCATGAGTAGTAGTGATCTATTCAACTAGACTATCGTTTGTATTATTAGTACTTTCATAGTTTTTCATTCGCATCTAGCATGGTAAAGATGATAGTCTGTTAGACTATTATATTATGATTATCATTACTTTTTAAAATATAAATATAGCTTGTTTAATATGTTCACATGTTTTTTATTGAAACTTTGTAAACCATAGCCAAAGTCTTGTTACATGTGTCGAAAGAGATCAATATGGTCATCAAAATTGTTGGAAATTAAGCTAGACTTCAATATTAGTATTTATTCGGGTTAATTTAGTAATTAAGTATTGTTGGTTATATATAGTAAACGGTTATGGCTATCCAAGATTGAGTGGATGCCTTGAACGTGTGCGATGATTCGTTTAAAGGGATGCAATGTTTGGCATATATATATATATATATATATATATATATATATATATATATATATATATATATATATATATATAGGCTTAGGTTATTTTGTTTAAAGTAATTATTGTGTTATTGTATTCATAAATGTGTGCCAATCAAATTTACTTATTTTAAGAAAATGATTAATATATATTATTGAATTAAATATAATTGAAAAAATCATCTTAATTAATTACAAGGGTAATTTAGTCAATAAATATAGATTTAATAAAAGGAAAATTGCATTTTTTAAGGGATCATAGATTCTATTAATTTTAAAAATCCGATTTTACGAATTATAATTTTTTAATTCGGACATTCTGACAGAATATATTTATGAGTATATTCAAAAATAAAAATATTCTTGAACCATAAATAATAAAAATATTCTTGAACCTATTTCTTTATCATGAATTTAAAAACTTCTTGTAGAATAACAAATTCTTGAACAATCAATTGAAGAATAAAAACAACAAATACATTATTTCTTATAGAATACGGGTAACAATTGTTAATAATTACATCAAAATCTAACAACGACTAATACATTCTAAAAGAATAATGAGGTTCGTTTCAATTTTGTGGTCCGTTCTTCAAGCATCAACTTCTGTGATTCCAACAGAATTGGAATTCGTCATTCCATTCCAATAGATATTAGCCAAAAAACTGCTCATTCTGATATGTATATTAGCCAAAAAACTGCTTTTCATTTCCTTCCCTTCCCTGTCAAACACCCAATCCAAACATCCATTGTTTTCTATCAAATGCAACAAACCCAAACACCCCAATGATTTCTATCTAACATTCAAACAAACCCCTGGATTCTGAAGTGTATATTCTATGTAATACATTCTTGCCCAATTTTGGAATATATATCAAAGATTTTCAGATGTAAGAAAATACACAAAATTAAATAAATAAATAAAACATCATTTATCAAGTAATTATGAAGAAAAACTCACGGGGGATTTTACAGATAACCTTCTTCACTTTCTTGTAGCAGCCGGAGCATTTGAGATCGACATTCAGCACCATTTCTGTCACCTGTTTCGTTATATTAAACAGATTTAATCGACATTAGTTCTTGAGTATATTAGCTCATTTCAATTCTTAAAATGCTTAATTAACAAGAAGATTTTGTCATGAGAAACTAGATTGAAAAGATAAAACGACAATGGCTTCGGAATTCAGATGAAACTTAATTGATAATCTGAGAGGGAATTGAAATATCAAATGAGTACCTTCTCAGGCGCCATGGCAGCGAAGGAAGAATCGATCTGTGAGATAGATGAAGAGACACAAAAGTGGTTCTTACCATTTAGATATGGAGGAGGGATTCGGTGCTGGCAGTGGCCCGCTTGATTCCTCTTCATCCTCGTCGCAGAACTCATCGGGATTCGGTCCGGGATCGCCGACGATGCATCGTCCGGTGGTGATGTTGAAGAGAGCGAGGAGTGATGGTCCTATTAGGGCAGCGATTATCCATGAGTCGGATTGGGCTTGGATCCAACAAAGGTCTTGGCGAAGGTGCTGATTTTTGGCGAAGGTCGATGAGGCAGATACGACGTTGGCGGTCGTAGGTGGCAATGAGAAGGTGAGGAAGACGAGCTTATTTATTTAGGTTTTAAGGTGAGGAAGACCAGCGATTATCCCATGATTATAGGGATTATTTTTGGAAGTTACTAAACAAATTACTAAATTACCCTTATTTATTTATTTAATTATTTAATTTTGATTGGCCCACATTTATGCATACAATAACACAATAATTACTTTAAACATTTGAACCTACCTTTATATATATATATATATATATATATATATATATATATATATATATATATATATATATATATATATATATAGAGAGAGAGAGAGAGAGAGAGAGAGCTAGGTTCAAATGTTTCTAGCAAATAGTGTGTGCCTAAATGCACCAATGAGAATTCAAGAATAATAAATCATTAAATAAATAAAAAAAATGGTATAATGGTAAACTTACTATATCTAATTATGGTAAAAAATAATTCAATTAATCTCTCCTTATTTATCTCCTTAATTAGTTTAACCCTACAAAGCCAACATCCCTAACCTTAAAGAGTACGACGGCTTCCTCAAATCAGCGATACCTCTGTTCCTCCTTTCCACCAGAAATCGATCCTTACATCCGAGCACCACCGTCGGCCTATTATCCGCCATCATGACAGCAACTTCTAGATCCTTTATTCGACTACTATTCTTCCTCATCTTCATGTTCGTCAGCCTCTTGCTTTCCATACGCTTGCTAGACGCTAACGGAAAGGTCCCAGATTTGGATCTCATGTTTGACTGCGTTGAGTGGCCAGTCATCTTGAAGAAGTACTATTGTGGCCCTAATGCAGTTGCTCGATTGTGCGCCCCAATCTACTTCCCGACCACCAAGAAACTGAATTGGTAAGACTCTCACTAATTTTTTTTTGAAGAAACTGAAGAAGCACACCACGTGTTCGATAAAATGCATAGTTGAAATCTAGTTTTTTTTTTAATGCATCTTGATGTCGATCATTCTGCTAGAATGAAATTAGGTAATGGTGTTCAAGTCATCTTTATTTTTAAATATATTTGATGTTGGTGCATTTAGTTGTTCATTTCATTAGTAATATTCTACAAAGCGTGATGATTTGTGTGTGCTCTGAAGGTGTTTGACGAAATGTCTAGTACAAATCTGTTAGAATTCATCAATGCCCGCCATGTGTTTGATGTAATTACTGAACCAGGAGTACAACAAATTATCTCTATTAATGTTATTATTTGTGTACTATAATGTTATTACTTAGTGATCAACTAACTGTAATATTAGAATAGCTATCTTACATCATCATCGGGTGTTATTCTCATCTTTAACTGTTTCATTCTTTAAGAATATTTTGCATCTAATGTAGTTTTTATTTGAATAATGTGTAAAGAGTATTATATTCTTGCATAATCACATAGGAATGATTCTGCCAGAATTGTAGTTCTAGTATAATCACATAAGAATGATTATGGTAAAATCACACAAGAATAATTTTTCTAGGGTTTTATTGCAACTGGATTAATCTTTTATCATGATTTCTACCATAATTTATAGTTTTATTCTTTTAGAATGCACATAATTTAGAATGCTCATGGTGAATGTATAAAATGTTACTCTTACATATTCGATTTCATGGCAGTTATTCTCATCGAATACTCGATTTGAAGGAAGTTATTCTTAAAGAATGTGTGAAAGGAACCTGATGATCAAGTGTTGGAAGGTTGGATGATGGCATGTGGGATGAAGATGAACAATGGTCAATGATCTTCACAAAAGAAAGCACTGACATAATAATTTACAATATAATGATACGACTATATAGTATAGTATATATTCTGGTAGAATATTCAGTTAGAATAATCTACCAATTGTGTTTGTTTTGTTATTAATGAGTGTTTCATTATGATAGAATAATATATTAAGATTTTTATTTTTTAAGAATGTGATGACAAAAATTTAACTTGTATCAAAAATTTGTTATTCTTAGAAAGTTCATTCAATCAAAAAATGTTGTTATTTCGTTTGAAGAATGATATGATCTTATATTCATTCTATAAGAATATGTATTCTGTCATTCAATCAAAACATGTATTCTTCGGTCATTGTAAAAATACGTTGGAATTAATATTGAATAAGATTTTCAGATTTTTAAAATTAGGAGATCTAATTATCCCTAAATTTCCGAAAATTTCTTTTTTTAAATATAGTTAATTGTCCAGAATACCCTTATGGTGAAATTTGTATGATTAAATTGATTATTTTTAATTAGTTAATAAATATAGAACCCTTACTTAAATTATCCCAAATGATTGGCTCAGAATCAATTTCATAGGTACACAATAATTAGTAAAAACAAAATAACCTAACCCTATATATATATATATATATATATATATATATATATATATATATATATATATATATATATATATATATATATATATATAGGGCTAGGTTCATGTATTCCTAACATTTACTATGTGCTCGTAAGCACAAATCTGGACCAACGAATGAAATAAAATTAATGGTCATTATCTGAGGGTCTATGATATTAAAATAGGGTTACATGTATCATATAAATACATAAATTTCAGCATAAGGGTATTTTGGGTGATTAACCAATATTCAAAAAGGAAATTTTCGGATTTTAAGGGATAATTAAATCTCTTATTTTTAAAAATCTAATTTTTTTTTTAAATTTAGCCAAATTTAATTGTAATATAATTTTTAATAATAATCGATATTATTCTGTGAGAATGACAGAAAATCAATAATAAACTAGTGTAACGCTCTTTTCCGAATCGTTTCCTAATGAGGGGTGGTGACCCGATGACCGAGTATCATCAAGCTTAGGGCCTTTGAGGGAAAGAGATTTAGACCCATTTGAGCATGGGTAATGTAATTTGGATGATCCGGAAGTTCAGTTTGTGTTTTGCCGCCAATGGGTATTTCGGTAAAGTGTCGAGCTTTTATAGAAATTGGATTTTTGTTCGGGAAGTTTTAAGGCAAGTATGAGTTGATAGAAGTGTAATGCTTCTTGTTACCTCTTCGTGGATATAAGGATTGTCGGAAACGGACTAATAACGAAGAAGTTATGGACTTTGGAAGATTCATGGTTTTAGGGTTAAAGAGAGTACGTGGGGCATACAAATGTGTACGCATGACGTACTAGTGCTGAGTCCAGTACATGGGGCGTACTTTGGTGTACGGTGGGCGTACTGCGCTGATGGATCGCGAAGCCTTAAAGGAGTACGCTGGGCGTACCTGAATTACGATGGACGTACTCAAGTCAGATCCAAACCCTAATTTAGGGTCTTGGACCCTATTTAAGCTCCTTAACTTACCACCAAACCCTATTATCTTCAGCCTCCATCCCTCTAAACCCTAGGAACAAAACCCTAGGAACAAAACCCTAGCCCCCATTTGAGTGGTTTTTGAGCTTTTGGTGGTATTTCAAGCATTTTGGTAATCTTTGAAGAAGAAGGAACTTCTTGGAGAAGTGTGGGATTGCTTGAAGCTTTTGGATCCACGCTTGTTGCATCTTGATCTACATTTTGGAGGTATAAAGTTTCTATCTTGATGATCATATATGTTAGATCTAGTTTATGGAGTATCTTGGGGCTTTTGAGTCTTTTAGTGCTAAAGGTGAGTTTTTGATCTACTCCAGAAGCAATGGATGCTAGATCTTAGCTCCATTCAGCCCCCAAGTTCATAAAAATGTAATCTTGGTGAGTTATCTTAGACCATGCATGAGTTGGATGTTCATTATGGATGTTATTAAGGATTATGGTCCCATTAAGCCATGAAAAGGAGTAAAGTTGCCAACTTTACGTGTTAAGACATCTCATTACGCTCATATCTCAGTTTGGAAGTCATTGGCTTAACCATTAAGAGCTTATTATGGATTTTTGGTACCTGATGAGTACGCTGGGCGTACGCAGGAAGTACGCTCAGCGTCATGAAGTTTTCGTGCATTAGCTACTTGTAATCTGTGCTTTGCAGATGAGTACGTTGGGCGTACCATTCTGGTACGCGGGGTGTACTCCTCAGTTTGGCATTTTGGGCTTTTTCAGACTTGGGCCTTGTTGGACCATTGGACTTTGGACTTTGGGCCATGGATGGACTTAGGGTTTTCTTGGAAGTAGGTCCATGATGGTTTTGGGGGCCAATCGGGTTATTGGGCCATAATGGGCTTTTGTTGCTTTGATTTGGGCTTTGGTTTGCCATTTTGCATTTTGGGCTGGGAATTGGTTATGGAACAAGTAAGAAAAGGGTAAAATGATTTTTTACCCCTTAGGAAGTTGGTTTATGGAGTGGGCCTCGGATTTTGGGTCATCGGGTTAATTATTGATTAAGATTGTATTTAATGTTAGTTGGCGCGAGGTTATCCAGTGCAGCGATCCGAGCAATTATTTGATTATCAGTTGATTGGGGTGAGTCTTCTCACTATATCAATGGGTCGAAGGCACCAATGCCGACCCATTATCTGATGTGGATTGGCAGTTGTTATGCAATTAATTGTCTGAGAACCCCGAGGGTAGCCCGTGACACTTGTGTCAAGACCATGGGGGTAGCCCATGACACTTGGATATTAGACCATGGGGGTAGCCCATGGCGTTCCAGGTAAAGACCATGGGGTAGCCCATGACACTTGGATATCAGACCATGGGGGTAGCCCATGACATTCCAGGTAAAGACCATGGGGGTAGCCCATGGCAACCTTATGTATGTGGCATGGTATTATGTGGTTGTATGGTATGTGGTATTTTGGGGAACTCACTAAGATTTGTGCTTACGGTTTTCAGTTATGTTTCAGGTACTTCTGGTTTCAAAGGGAAGAGTCCGGCTTGATCACAACACATCTACCCACGTTTCCACATCATGTTGATTTTTGGGATTGTACTCTGATAACTGTTTTCTTATAAAAGTACTTTTGAATATTTAGATAAGCAGATATTGAATGTTGACTTAATGATAATTAATGTTTTGATTGAATTAAAAATGAAAATTTTACCTCATAATTTTTGGGTCGTTACAACTAGTAAATATATTTTCGATTTTATTCTTGTAGAATATGGTTACATTTTATATAATTTTTAAAATAACATGCTTAATCAACTATACAGTATATTACCAAGAATAACATTTTCTAAAGAATACAAATTTTATTCTTTAAGAATCACTAATTACATTAATTCGTAAAGAATAAGACTATAAACAATTATTATATTCATTTTGAAAAAAATGACTTATAATGGTTTAAGAATTACATTTATTCTTAAATATTAAAACTAAGAACGGTTAAAAAAGAAAAAAAAACATCAAAATCTAACAAAACACTAATTAGTTCTGAAAAAATTATTCTTAAGAAACGCTTTATACGTTATGACAGAATACATTCTGCTAGAATACATTAGGGTTCTCCATGTTTTCTTTATTTTCCACATCAGTGACAACCTCTTTAAAAACTAAATCTACAAAAAAACGATAATCAACTTTAAAATCTTAAAAAATTAAGTGCAATCTTAAAGAACAAAAACTATAAATTATGATACAATGTAGTAAATATTAAATAATTGGAATTTATTCTAATAGAATGAACTCCTCAAATCACTTGATCAGAAAACAAAATGTATGAAGAAGTGTTAACTTGTTCAACCATTTTGATAGAATGTAATCCTTAAATCACCAATTTTTAATCGAATATTATTTAGAGTCTAATAGCTATAAAAACATGTTTAATAGCTATAAATGGCAAACAAAGATTCTATAAGAATACGTATACTTTATTCTAACAGATTATTACTTAGAAATGAAAATTTTACCTCATAATTTTGGGTCGTTACAACTAGTAAATATATTTTCGATTTTATTCTTGTAGAATATGGTTACATTTTATATAATTTTTAAAATAACATGCTTAATCAACTATACAGTATATTACCAAGAATAACATTTTCTAAAGAATACAAATTTTATTCTTTAAGAATCACTAATTACATTAATTCGTAAAGAATAAGACTATAAACAATTATTATATTCATTTTGAAAAAAATGACTTATAATGGTTTAAGAATTACATTTATTCTTAAATATTAAAACTAAGAACGGTTAAAAAAGAAAAAAAACATCAAAATCTAACAAAACACTAATTAGTTCTGAAAAAATTATTCTTAAGAAACGCTTTATACGTTATGACAGAATACATTCTGCTAGAATACATTAGGGTTCTCCATGTTTTCTTTATTTTCCACATCAGTGACAACCTCTTTAAAACCTAAATCTACAAAAAAACGATAATCAACTTTAAAATCTTAAAAAATTAAGTGCAATCTTAAAGAACAAAAACTATAAATTATGATACAATGTAGTAAATATTAAATAATTGGAATTTATTCTAATAGAATGAACTCCTCAAATCACTTGATCAGAAAACAAAATGTATGAAGAAGTGTTAACTTGTTCAACCATTTTGATAGAATGTAATCCTTAAATCACCAATTTTTAATCGAATATTATTTAGAGTCTAATAGCTATAAAAACATGTTTAATAGCTATAAATGGCAAACAAAGATTCTATAAGAATACGTATACTTTATTCTAACAGATTATTACTTAGAGTCGAATAGCAATAAAAAACATGTTTATTCTGCAAGAATGATACCGTAAATATTCTCCCATAATGGTTTTGAATATTCTTAAAGAGTATGAAATTAATTCAAAGAAATCAAATTAAATCATTATGTTTGTAGAATAATTAATCATAAGCAAAGTCAAAATAGAGAAAAGAAAGACCTCATTAGACCAACACCAGACCAGATTAACAAAACTACATTGGCTAATTTTAAAATGCATATAAATACTTGAATGGAAGAAATATTTGATTCAAGCATTTTAACAAGCAGTTGGCGGGCAAAATCATATGCCTTCTGAATTTGAAGCTATGTGTGCAGACAATAGAAATTTCTTTGCCGAAATCAATATTAACAAATATGATATATTTGTAATAAATTTCTAAGAAAAAAAATTATGGAAAGAAAGTAGTCAAAATACATGCCTTCAACGATGATGAAACCTAAAGCTTCAAGCCTTGGAAATCGATTTAACGAACTGAGTTTTAAAGAAACCAATTGCTTTGCTAATTTCGCTTCGATTTTGAACGTTTATGCTATGATTTAAACGAATTGGTTTTGCTGCTGTGATTTGGATCGAGTACGCACTGATTTGGTTGCGATTTGGATCAGCGAGTAGGAATTGATAACGTTATCCCCTTCGATCAACTGATGTGAGTAAGAATACGTTGCTACAGGTTTGTCCGACAGTTGTGGCGTTTGAGCGATGGAAACGAGGGAAAAGGCGTCGACGTTCAACAAAGAGATGAAATGGTGATTTCGATAATAGTGGTTCTGGACGTCGGAAGCCAAGATGATGGTGGTTCTAGATGATTTTTAGAGAAAGAGGGGGGGGGGGGGGGGGGGGGATCGATGGTGGTGTTATAGATTTGTGAAACTGATAGTCTAAATTGATGAGATATTAATTGATTTTGTTTTATTTTACCATAATTAATTATAATGTAGATTAATCTTATACCCTTTTATTATTTATTAACGATTTAAGTATTTTCTGAATTTTCATTGGTCCTTACAAACACACAATAGTTGTTTGAAACATTTGAACCTCTATATCTATATATATATATATATATATATATATATATATATATATATATATATATATATATATATATATTAAATTTTCCATATTATTTACTAAACAAAATGATGTAGAAAAGAAACATTAGCCCGCAACGAAGCACATATTTACTAGTTATATATTGATAGTATCGATAAATTAGTGGATACAGTGACATTTTTATTATTTATTTATTATTATAATTAATAAATGAAATTATATATATATATATATATATATATATATATATATTCAAAATGAGAACAAATTTTAACCATTCGTTCTATAATGATTAAAATATGTTATTTATTTATTTAATATTTAATAATATTATTTAAAAAAATACACTACACCCCTTCCATGCTACCCTACACCCTTTTGTATTACTTTATCTCTTTCCATAATATTATGTCTCATTTGAAGTTGCTTCACCAAGAACCACCAGATTGCCGCCGCCATCGACCGCCACAGATCGACCGGGTCGCCGTCAGAATGTTGTATTTCTATGAATCTACTTCACTTCCTCTTCTCTTCTGAACCGACTCCCATGTCTAGTTTCACAAGATCTGTGAAAGGTTCGTGATCTGATATCCAAAAGACATTGACAGTTGCATCCCATCAGTGTCTCCCATCAATGAAGTCATAAACAAATTTGTCGGAGAGGCTGTAGCGACGAAGAAATTGATGGTGTTGGTAGGAACATCCTTCCTATTAAATGATCCCGATTTCATAAGATGGATTTGGGGAAACCGCTGCTGAATCGGTGCTACAGAAGAACTTACCTTCTCCATCACCGCTACAACAACCTGATAGTGTTCTTGGCTGCTATTTCCCATCGTCATATTGAACGCCGTCAGAGTAAATAGATTTAAAAAGGTCCACATCGGAATCGGGCGTGACCGGTGGAAGTTCGATCGAGAAGAGAGATGAATATCTTAAACTAGTGACAGCGACAACTACGCAATCGGTGGTTGAAGAAGCATCGCTAGTGCCGGCGAAGTACGGCAGTTCATTGCGGGAATGGGATGAGGTAGTCCGATTAGATTCTGAAGGCTTTTAAGGCCAGTGATGCCGGCTTCATGGGCAGTGATTCTTCCATTTACCATTGAAATTATTGATTCTGATGGAATTTATGAGCTCAACAATGATATGATAAAAAAACATTTATCAAAACAAGAGATAATGGCTTTGATTTCTAGGGAGAAAGGGTATTTTTAATTGGGGATGTAGAAAGGGGTAGTTTTAATGGGCGTAGAGGAAAGTCAAAGAAATGATGCAGTAGGTTCTATCACCTTTACTTCTATATGCAGTCAAAAGTTAAAACAAGTCCTCATATTAATAAAGGTAATGCTATATTTATTTTTCTTTTCTATATTATGCACATAGTTATATATTCATTATACTAACCTTATTTTATTTTCCAATATAGTCTATTTAATATAAACAACAAATAATAATTTGATAGAATTTATTTCAATTCATTTTTATTTGTATAAGATGTATGATTTGTACTATTTTATAGATCATTTAGTCTTTAATTTTTAAAAAAATCCTTAATAGTTAAAAGTTAAAAATTATTAAACACAAATACGAGCCTCCTACGCAAAAAAAAAAGAAAACTAATTATCATCAATAATGAAATCCTAAAATAAATAACACAGAAAGACAAAATTAGTCTAATCACATATAATCACATGTGATTATATATATATATATATATATATATATAGATATATATATATATATATATATATATATATATATATATAATCACATATAATCACATGTGATTAAATACAGTAGAACAACTATTGAATTGAGAATATTAAAATGAATCTTGTCCACATAAATTATATGTGATTAAATATTTAAAATCACATGTGTTTATATGTATTTATCACATATGATTTATATGGACAAGATTTATTTTCGTGTTCTCGATACAAAAAATTGTTCTCTTGTATTCAATCACATAAGATTATATGTATCTAATCATATGTGATTATATACATGAGAACAACTGTTGAATCAAGAATGTGGAAACACAATCTTTTCTACATAAATCATATGTGATTAAATACATATAATCGCATGTGATTAAATACATGATACCAACTATTGATTCGAAAACGCGAAAATGAATATTGTCCATATAAATCATATGTGATTAAATACATATAATCACATGTGATTACATGTATTAAATCACATATGATTTATGAGGACATATTCATTTTCGCATTTTCGATTCAATAGTTGTTCTCATTATTTAATCACATGTGATTATATGTATATAATCACATATGATTTATATAGACAATATTCATTTTGCTTTTTCGATTCAATATTTTCTCTCGTGTATTTAATCACATATGATTATATGTATCAGACCTCATATGATCTATGTGCATAATATTTGTTTTTACGTTCTTGATTCAAAAGTTGTTTTTTTTATCCATATTAATCATATGTGATTAAATACCTATAATCACATATGATTAAATTAATGAGAAAAATTATTGAATTGAAAATTCAAAAACGAACCTTATCTATATAAATAATATGTGATTTTATATATATATATATATATATATATATATATATATATATATATATATATATATAATCACATGTGATTATATGTATCTAATCACATATGATTTATGTGATTATATGTATTTAAATACACGAGAAAGACTATTGAATCACATATGATTTATGTGGACAAGGTTCATTATCTTGTTTTCGATTCAATAATTGTTCTTTGTCAACTTTAATCATATGTGATTAAATACATCTAAGCACATGTGATTTTATGTATCTAATCAAATATGATTTTTATGGACAAAAAAGAATTGTGTATATATAAATTATATGTGATTAGATGGATATAATCACATGTGGTTATATACAAGAGAATAACCATTGAATCAAAAATGCAGAAACAAATCTTTTCTCAAACTAATTATATGTTATTAAATACATATAATCAGATATGATTAAATATATGAGAAAAACTATTAAATGGAAAACCTGAAAACAAACATTGTTTATACAAATCATATGTGATTAGATACATATAATCACATGTGATTGTATGTATCTAATCACATGTGATTTATGTGACTACATACATATAATCACACATGATTTATGCCATTAGATGCACTTAATCACATATGGTGTTGGTAGTTGTAGGTAGTAGGTGGTGGTGGTGTGGTGGAGATGGGTGGTGGGTAGTGGTGGTAGGCTTGGTGGGTGGTGGTGACTAGTAGTGGTGGTGGTGGGTGATGGGGGTTGTGGGTGATAGTTGGTTTGTGGTGGTTGTGGTTGGTGATAGGTGGTGGGTGGTGGTGATGGTGAAAGATGGTGGTTATAGTGGATGGTATTGATGGGTGGGTGATAGCGTGTAGTGGTGATGGGTAGTGGTGGCATGTGGTGATGTTTGGTGGTCGATGGTGGTGGTAGGTGGTGGGTGGTGACAATGTTGGTGGGTTGTAGGGATGATGGTGGCGGGTAGTGGTGATGGTTGGCGTGGTAGTGATGAATGATGGAGGCGGGTGGTGGTAGTGGCAGGTGGTGGTGGTGTTCGGTGATTGTTTTAGTGGGTGATGGGTGGTGGTGGTGTATGGTGGTGGTAATGGTTGGGTGTGGTGGTGGATGGTAGTGGTGGATAGTGGTGATGGGTGGTGGTGGTAGGTGGTGGAGGTTGCTGGTGGTGATGGGTGGTGGTTGGTGGTAGGATAGTGATGGTGACGCTAGTGAGTGGTGGGTGGGTGTGTGGTAGTGGTGGCTAGTGTGGCTAGTGGTGGGGGTGGTGTGTGGGGGTGGTGTGGGTGGGTGGCGGGTGGTGGTGTGGGTGTGGGTGGGTATGTGGTGGTGGTGACGGGTGGTTGTGGGTGGGTATGTGGTGGTGGTGGTTAGTGGTTGGTTGTGGAGTTGGTGGTGGCGGGTGGTGGGTGGTGATGGGTGGGTGTGTGGTGGTGGTGGGTAGTGGTTGGTTGTGGGGGTGGTCATGGCGGGTGGTGGGTGGATGTGGGTGGTGGTCGTTGTGGTCTCGTGGTGGTGGTGATGGGTGGTGGAGGTGGAGGTGGGTAGTGGTGATGGGTGGTGGTGGTGGGCGGTAGAGGTGCGTGATGGTGATGAGTGGTGGTTGGTGGTGGGGATGGTGGTGACGATGGTGGTGGGTATGTAGTGGTGGTGGCTAGTGGTTGGTTGTGGGGGTGGTAGAGGCGAGTGGTGGTGATGGGTAGGTGGGTGACTGGTTGGGTATGGGTGGTGGTGGAGTTAGGTGAATGGGTGGTGGCGGTGGTGATGGTGGCTGGTGGTGATGGGTGGTGACGGTGGTTGGTGGTAGTGGGTGGTGGAACTGGGTGGTGGTGGTGATGGTGGTGAGTGGCGGTGGTGATGGGTGTTGGTGGTGAGTAGAGATGCACAGAAAAACCGGTTTCACTATTCAAAACCGGATCCAATCCTAACCGGATTGGGTCAAACCCGGTTTTTGACCAACCCGATCGGATCGGATTTAAACCCGGATTTTCAATCGGATCCTAATCCTATATTCCCAATCGGATTTGATACCGGATCGTAAACCGGATTCGCTAAAAACCGGATCCAAATCCGCCCCAAAATCCGATTAAAACCCACTAAAATCGGTTTAAACCGGTTCCAAATTGGATTAGAATCGGATTCGGATTTTGGTTGGAACCGGATCGGATTTTGACCGGATTCGGATCGGATTTTGACCGGATCGGATTTTTGATGACGTAAGCGAAACCGGATCGGATTCGGATCCGGATCGGATCGGATTCGGGTTTTGTGCATCTCTAGTGGTGAGTGGTGGTAGTGGGATGTAGGTTGTAGTGATAGGTGGTTGGTAGTGATGGTAGGTGGTGGGTGGGTGGATGGTGGTGGTGGTGGTTGGTGGGTGGTAGGTAGTGGTCCTGAGTGATGTTGGGTAATGGGTTTTTTTAATTGTTTTTAACTATTTGTTGATTTATATGAATATTATTTTATAATTGTAATTAAAAAAAGTTGTGTGGTCCAAATTTGTTCTCAAATGTTATATATATATATATATATATATATATATATATATATATATAAGATCAAATGAAAACCTTAAAAGGTTAAGAACCATTTACGAACCATTTCATTAAGGATATTTTGGTCAATTTATATATTTTCTTATTATTTAACATCGGATTTAACATTCTCACCAAACACTCTTTCATAAGTTTTCAAATTCTCAACTTTCAAACACTTCCTTTTTCTGCAACATCCACCATCACCTAACTCCGACGACTTTACAACACTGCCGCCACCAACCTCCGATGACTATCCACCACCGCCACCTACCGTCTCCGCCATGCCGCTGTCTCCTATCGCCGGATAAACTCATTATCACCTTCTTACGTCCTTTTCCGGCGACTTCCAACTAGTGGTTTTTTTTTCTCATTTTCGGTGGTGTTCTTAGTCCAGATCTGTCCAAATCCGGTCAGATCTAGAACATTCGTCTTCAGATCTAGAACATTTGCCTTCAGATATACTTTCATCGCCCTCACCACAACCTCTTGCCATCGATGTCGATCTCGCAACCACCAACCGCCAACCTTTAGATATGAAGTCGCTAACTTCAGATCTAAAACATCTGCGTTCAGATCTGCCCTCATCGTCGACGTCATCCTTTTATAACTTCAGATATGTGAGTTGTGCTTCATTTCCGACCACCTTCCGACCTTTGACCTCTCCACAACACCAGAAAACGTCGTGTCTCCTCCCTCAACCTTTCAGATCTGAAGCCAAAGATGTCGGAAATGTCACCAACCGCCATCAACCTTTTAGATCTGAAACAAAAACATACCGATTTCTCAGATTTGGCCTGATCAAATCTGATGTGTTTGGTGTAATTTTAGGCATAGATCTTGTATGTATGAAACATTTCATAGTGGCCACCAGTGGTTCCACCACTGTATCGTCTCTCTTGCACTACCACCACCTCCTCGCCTCAGATTGCCGAAAAACTCATCAACTACCATCAACATTTTGGATTTGAAGTGAAAGGCACAACGATTTCTCATATATGCTTAGATCTGCTCTGATCTTGAATATCTGGAGACCTTAAGAAACATGAGAATCTTAAATATGTAAATCACATCATATCTGAAAACAATATGCACACAAGTTGTTTGATGAACTGCTTCAACGAGATCTGTAAGTTTTTAAGTTATGAATAAGTGTTCAAAATTTTGTAATAAGCTGTGAATTACTGTTTAAAGTCTGTATTATACTATGAATTTTGATTTTTTGAGGCATTAAGTTGTGAAATTTAGTGCTTGCAATATTTAATAAGCTTTGAATTAGTATGTGAAATGTTTTATTAAACTATGAAATTTTTTATCCAAATATGAATTTTTATACATGTAAATGATATGTGGTAGTGTATTAAACTATTGATTTTGTATATTAACCTGTGAATTTTATTAACAGCTTAATATAATAAATTCATATTTTAATACACATAAATGCCTCAAGATATAAACGTATAAATATAAGTTCGTTTATAAATATAAGTTTTAAGTTGAGAATATGACTGTGAATATATAATTGTTTTGTATTAAACTGTCACTTTTGTGTGTTAAACTATTAATGTTTTATCTGAAGTTATAAATATAAAATTTAAGTTAATAATATATAACATTTATGTGTATTAAATTATGAATTTGTTATATTAAGTTATGAATTTTGTGTATTAAACTATAACTTATTGTATTAAGTTGTGAATTGACTGTATTAAGTATACTTTTGTGTTAAAACACTAATGATTTATGTATGAACTTTTCTATTAATGTTCTTGTGAATATATTTATTTTTGTGTTGTATAAGTATGTAAGAATGTATTAATTTTTAGATAATTGTTTTGCATTAAATTCGAAGTGAGTGAATTTTTATGTTTATTAAACTGTAAATGTAATATTTAAGCTTAATATAATAAATTCACATTTTAATACCATAAATGCCTCAAGATATGAACATATAAATATAAGTTTTAAGTTGAGAATATGACTGTGAATATATAATTTTTGTGTTTTAAACTGTGAATTTATTGTATTAAACTGTCACTTTTGTGTATTAAACTATGAATTGACTGTATTAAATTATGAATGTTTTATATGAAGTTATAAATATAAGATTTAAGTTAAGAATACATAAGGTTTGTGTGTATTAAATTATGAATTTGTATATTAAGTTGTGAATTTTGTGTATTAAACGGTAATTTACTGTATTAAATTGTGAAAATTTTATTTTATAAGTATGTAAGAATGTAATAGTGTTTAGATAATTGTTTTGTATATTAAGTTGTGAATTTTTGTGTTAAAAAATTATGTATGATTTTTGTATTGATTTTGTTGTGAATATATTCATTTTTGTATTTTATAAGTATGTAAGAATGTAATAGTGTTTAGATAATTGTTTTGTATTAAATTCAAAGTGAGTGAATTAATATGTTTATTAAACTGTAAATGAAGTGTTTAAGTTGTAAATGCACGACTTTATATACAGATATAATTTTGAATGAATGGTGACTATGACGGTGGCAACATTGGTTGATGACAGCGTGTAGTGGTGGTGATAGTGTTTTGGTTTAACTTCTCTGAATATGTAAATTAGTGTAAAATAGATTGTATTAAGTTGTGAATTTTATATATTAAATTGTAAATGATCTGTATTAGGTTGTATTTTATATAAATTGGGTATTCAAATATTAATGAATGTATAAATGAAAATATTAAACTATAAAAATTATGATTTTACCATTTTCTTACAAAAAAAACAAATATCATGATTTTTAACATATTTAATAAGTATTCACAATATATATCTAAAGAAATATGGGTTCTTAGGGTTCATAATCTTTTGTGGTTCTCATTTGAACCACTCCATATATATATATATATATATATATATATATATATATTATCTATATATATATCTATATATATGGGAAATCTTCAAAAAAGTCCCAAACTTTTGGGAAAAGTTACACTTTTGTCCTAACATTTTTTTTGAACAAAAAAACCTAGGAAACCGGGTAAATCGAACATTTTGGCCCTATTTTACCGGCAACCCTCATTTAGCCGGTTAAATTGGCTTATGTGGCAAGGAGTTGCTTACGTGGGTTTAATCGATCTCATTTACACACATACATACACAATACAACTTACCTCTCTCATTTCACTTTCTCTCTCCCCCCCCCCCCCCTTAGTAAACTAGGGTTTTTTACCCCCGTGCAGTTGAAATCATGGATGACATCCATGATTTTGATACAATAGATGTGGAGCTGGATGTGTACTTCAAAAAGAAACAAGCTTCCCGATGCAAAGACGAATTTCTCAATATTCTATGTGAAGAAGACGATTACGAGGCAGTAGATGATGCTCAAACTGAAAATGATGCTCAAACTGGAAACGATGCTCAAACTGGAATCACTAAAGAAGAATCAGATGAAGATTATCTGGAAGGTAGTAACGAGGAAGGTAGTGATGAGGAATTTGAGTATTCCACCCACAATCCAAAGGTGAAATGGAACAAAATGAGACCAATGCTTGGTGAAAGGTATGAATCCCCACATGAACTGAAATTGTGTTTGACCAACTATGCTGTTAGTAAGGATTTTCAAATCTGTTTCAAAAAATGTGATAGTGTTAGACTAGTGTCAATATGTGGAAGTGATCCAGAGAAGTGTCCATTTGTGGTTAGGGCTTCTTGGATGAGTACTGAAAGGTCTTTCCAAGTCAAAAAGATGATAGACGTTCATAAACGTGTTAGGAATTTTAACAATTCAAGGCTTATGGATCCTACCTGGTTAGCCAGGAAATTTGTGAAGGAGTTGATTAGGAAACCTAATTTAAAATGCAAAGAGATGCAGGTAATTATACAAAGTAAATTTCATTGCAAAATTTCATGGTCAAAGTGTTATAGATCAAGGATGAGGGCACTGCCATTAATTCATGGGAATTTGAGTGACCACTACGCAAGAGTTTGGGATTATGGGCATGAGCTACTGAGATCCAGTCCAGACAACACAGTTAGGATTACAGTTACTGTAAACCCTGATAACACCACAACATTTCATAGATTCTACATTTGCTTTAAATCAATAAGAGAGGGGTGGATTGAGTGAAGCAGAAGTACAACAAATTGAAGATGTGGATGTTGCTATGTCACAAGTATGCTTTCTCATTATTCATTTTGTGATGTTAAATCTTGCTAACTGGCCTTTTTGTTATGCTTGTTACAGGATGTTGGAGTTGCTAGCCAAATAACAGTTGAAGAACTCCCTACAAATCAAGCACTTGGAGATGAGGAAAGGATGAATGAGGAGGATGGCATAGATGAGCCAGGGATGGGTGAGGTAATGATGAATGAGGAAAGGATGGATGGTGAGAGAGAAATACATATCACACAACAATTGAATCAAGTCAGAAGGAGGCCTACAAAGAGGAGCAAAGTGAATCAAGTCAGGAGGAGGAAGCCTTCGGAAAGGATAACAAAGATCAAGTTGCAAAAGGTGGTAGCTGTCAAGAATGGAAAGGGGATGAGTTCATCCAACCCCCTTAGTCTAGATTAGGGTGTTTCTAATCCCTACTTTTGTTAAGAACATGTATAAAACTTTTGGGTTTGGGCAAATGTTGATAGGCCTTTTTGTTGATAAGCCTCTACTGTTGATAGCCTTTTTGTTGATAGCCCCTTTTGTTTACATCCATATAAACTATAGGCTTTGGGCCCCTTGATCATGTTTTTGGGCATTTACACAACTTGCCATAAAACTTGTTTGGCTTTGGTTAATATTACTACATGTTCTATGATTAACAATGTTTATGTTCCCTTTGGTTATATTGATTCCTTGTTTTATAGATTCCAGTCATGCATACATTACTTATGCTTACAATGTTTGCTTATATGGATTCCAGTCATGCATGATTCCAGTCATGCATGATTCCGGTCATGCATCCATTATGTATTGATTTGTTTGTGTATTAAGTCCATTATTAACTTATTACAATCATACTTTGATTCCATTCATTGATTACAATCAACACATTTAAAGTTCATACATAAACTAGATACTTCATTCATAAGGGAATACTTCATTCATAATCATATGAGTCACAAGATACTACATTCATAGTAAACTAACAACCCTTAGTCATAACCAAAACAAACACAACCAAAATACATTAAAACAACTTTCTATCCTACCAATCCATCAACATAACCAACAAAAACACAAAAGAAACCATAGAGACATAAAGCAATGATTTCCATCTTCCTCTTTCCACTACTTGTTGTGAAACTGGTTGTTGTGCCATTGGTTGTTCCACAACGTCTCCAAAAAAGTTCCCAGCTGGTTGTTCTTGCCCAAACTCCCCAAATATTCGATGGTTCTCCAAATTGACATTGTTGTGTAATACTAATAACAGATTTGCATACCACTGGCTTGGTAGAGGAGGATCCACCCAACGAAAGTACTTGCAATCTTTGAGTCCATTATGGTAATTCGGGCATCCTATAAACCTTCTTCCTGGGTTTAATGGAGTCCATGAAGTCCATCTTCCTACAGTATCACCACAGTCGCACCTCTTTCTGAGACGATTCATTGAAGATGAAGAAGACGAAGAAGACATCTGTCTTGGTCCTCCACTACTCCTGCTTCAATCGTTGTCTGCTAGGGCACGAATGAAGTTTTCCACTATATTTAGAGTTTAATACAAGGCCGTTAAATGACTCACCAACCACCTCAGCAAGTCCTTGCCACATAAGCCAATTTAACCGGCTAAATGAAGGTCACCGGTAAAATAGGGCCGAAATGTTCAATTTACCCGGTTTCCTGGGTTTTTTTGTTCAAAAAAAAAATGTTGGGACAAAAGTGTAACTTTTCCCAAAAGTTTGGGACTTTTTTGAAGATTTCCCTATATATATATATATATATATATATATATATATATATATATATATATATATATATATAATGACTTATCCCTCAAGATACGTCACAAAGGAACAAAACATGCAACACAAACTAAGCTCCGTCACACAAGCCTCGTCCTGCGTCGATCAAATTGACTATCGAGATAACGCACTCTTGTGAGCCTATCCATCGCTGTCACACGAACAAAGCGTGTGAAAAGAATGACTCAACACGTATGTGACATATATATCAGGAAAAAGGTGATTCCGTGCCACTAACTAAGATTCCATCTCCACCGATCAGAGCAATAGAAGATCTCTCAGGAATCACGTGGACCAATAGAAGCATAGGGGACGTTTTAAGGAATATTCAGGTGGTCCTGCATCCAGGCGATCTTCGTGGCCAAGTATGGGAAAACCCTAACTATATAAGAAGAAGAGACAATTCAGGTATAGGGTACGATCTCTTTTCTCACCGATTACAGACCTAAAGAACCAGTCAACGATTAGTGACTTGATCGTCGGAGCGCCTCCTCGGGATCTCCTCCCGGGACTCGACTGAAATTCTTCATTGTTAAGTGTGACTGCAGGTCTTGAAGGATTTCACCAAGCTAGAGTATTTCAGAAATTGATGTCATATATATATATATATATATATATATATATATATATATATATATATATATATATATATATATAGAGAGAGAGAGAGAGAGAGAGAGAGAGAGAAAGAGAGACGTCTATGTGTATGTTTGTGTGTATATATAACAAAGTTTGAAAATATATAGAATGAAAAAAAACGGTTTAAACCTCAAAAAACGGTAAAATAAAGAATTCCCTAGGAAATCTCAAGGAAATTCCTACTTATTTCCTATGGATTTCCAACAAATAGATTTTTTTTTTGATAAAACCATATATAGTTCAATACATATCGACGGAAATTGGAATCTGTTGAGGAGCTCCACCGCCTCTGGTGCGAGAAAACCAAATGTATCAAATGCAAAAGGTACAAACACATGTTGATTTTCTATACATGCATTCTCGTGCTTTGCTACTTTGCACGCAACGGCTTTCAAAGCGGCATACCCTGCTGTGAAATCCTTGCTACTCAAACCGACGAAAGGAGAGACCCCAGTAAGATCCACACAAGCGTGCTTCCCTCCTACCCATCCAAAGACCAAAATGTCAACCGGCCTGAGTATGGATCTTCCATCCTGCGGGTCCGTTAAAAAGTTCACTGACGCTTCTTTCTTCACGGAAATACCAGCGTGACAAGCATCAAAGAGAACATCCCTAACCACATCATGTTGGTACTTGAAACTAGGGAGCTCTCTACAATGAACCGCATGTTCCTCAAAAGTGTCCAAACATGCCTTGCGGCAAACTGGGTATATCTCGTTAATTGGGAATAGAGGAATCATGAGGCGGTAACAAAGTATAGTTCGGTACTCTATAGGATACAGGAGACATATGCTGGCCGAAGCCATCAATAGGGATAGTTAGCATAAAATCCTGAGCATGAGGTGCCCGAAGACACTCAAAAATTGCTTTCTGTCTAACAGTCACGTCGAAGTCGACTTCCATATCTTTGACGATTTTGCTAAAAAGGGCACACACAAATGCTTTTTGGGATTTAGGGGGGGGGGGGACAGTGTCCTTATTAGTGAAACCGCTACAGTCGAATCCTGGAATCGTATCGCGAAGATGAGTCAAAGCACATAGGTAATCAGAGTCCATACCACATATGCCACTGTCACATAGATGTGGTCTTGTAATGTCCAAGATTGGGCCCTCGAGGCTACAAATGCGTAGGAGGAAACCTTGTATGCTAAGTACAAACCCAAACCACCGAAACGAAAAGGTAAGGAAGCCAGACGCCACTGGATGTCTTCAAAGAAGGGGCCTCCACATACCACCATATCCTCGATAGACCTGTATAATCCTTTGTCAAAGAATCGAGCCGCCTATTCTATGTGCACCGGTTGGCATGTCCTTTAACCAAAGAAAAGTTTTGCAATGCCCATACATGATCGAAGAAAATGGAGCTCACTCTGCGGGTCACATAGTTGTGGAAGAATACCCATCAAATCAACAACATTGACCGCTCTCTTCATGGCCAACCCACTAATAAACCACATGTCTCTGCTAACAGTCCCCCAAGGAGCTTCACCCCCAAAGAAGGTCTCCTTATATCCGTTGGGAATAAATCGGTACGAAGCTTCCTACCATCACAGGAGGGCCAAAAAATCTCAGTTTTCTTGATGTTCAGCTCAAGACCCAAGCTTGGACCATTCACCTGAATAATGTTCAACACTCTAGCCACCTCCTCTGAATCCCCAATGATAGTCCCATCATCTAGATACCAAGCATGGATAAGGAGCTTGTAATTGTCTTTAATCTTGTACACAAGCGGGTGCAAAACGAGGGCAAAAAAAGAGGTCCCAAGGGGTCACCTTGCTGCACCCCAGTGGCAGACCATATATGTTGGTCTCCTACATAAAGTCTCACTGTTTGCCCGTATAATAAATTGACCCACAAATAAATAGAAGGGCACATCCTCCTAACCTCGTAGAGCAAGGCTGATTTATCCACCAGGTTAAAGGCATTCGATAAATCCACTGTAAGCATTGCAAGAGACCCATCAGTGTGGTGTTCACTCAACACCCTATTGGTATTGTGTAACACAGCCTCAGCACCCCTGGACACACCAACCCCAAACAGAAAATCATTAAGGTACTTAGCCATTTATTTACCCACACCTTTCATTGCAACCTTGGAAACCAGACGTCTCCATATAGTGCCTACTGCAATTGGACGGATGCTGTTGTCAGGTTTAATCAGAGGTGTGAGAGGAGCGAATGCAACCAACTCTGCCAAAATGGACGGACATCTTCCCGCTAGCCATAAATTAACCACTTTAGTGATAGCACGTAGGAGATCTATGGCTATAGCAGACCCTTCTCCACAAAGGGCATCTAGGATGTGTTGAGCCCTCAAGCCATCTCTCCCCCATGAAGTTCCTTTAGGGAAAGATTTAATGTAGCCAAATACACAATTAGAATTTGTTTTTTTTCTTTTTTCAAGGTTCAAACATTGTCTTTTTCGGGCCATATTTTGTACAATTTCATTATATATGAATTAAACTAGTTTCATTAACTTATACGTTATTTACACATACATGCATACACGTGCATTACCAGAACTCATTATGCAAAACATGTTTCTCTCATTATAATATATATATATATATATATATATATATATATATATATGTGTGTGTGTGTGTATGTATATATGTATGTGTATGTTTATGTGTGTATAAATTAGTGAGATAAAAGTATTTAGTATATAAATT